CCCCAAAACCCCAAAACCCCAAAACCCCTCACCTCTAATAAAAATTGAAAATAGTTTAAATCAGTTAAGATTAAGCTTTAGTCTAGGTTCTCGGCAAACAGAGAAAATACTCCATCTTCTGAGTGAGGAGTGGGTTGGAGCCTAAGAGTGGTAAAGAAGGTCCTGAATGAGTCGAGTTGGAGGGAAGTGTACTTATTGGCTTCTTGGTACAGATTCAGCATTTCTTGATTCAGTTTGACAGGTTCGACGTCTTTTTGGGCAGAGATGTCATTTTTATCGAAAAACTCGTAGAAATGGATGTAGAGAAGTGCATAACTATGTTCTGAGAAGAAGTTAATGAGGTTTCTGGTGTTGAACTTGTTTAATACGTTCCTAAGGGTTGTGAAATCAAGCCCAGAGATAATATCTTCTTTCTTATTGTATCTATCTCATAGAATAATAATCTTCAAGCTCCTTTCTAATCCAATGTATTCTATGTATTCTGGGAAGCATCTAAGATAGGAGAACTCAATTTCTATAAATTGCTTAATTGCATCATTGATATCAGAAAAAGAGAGGCAGCGAATCTGTTTACTTATAATTTTTAAAGATTCCTCATTCTTGAAACCTAGTCTTGAAATATCTCCTCATCATTCGGAGTCATTTACGTTGGAGTAGGTAAGCAAATTCAGTCACTTTCTTCGAATTTTTAAGCTCTTCTAATTCTGATGGACTCATTGTTTTAGTCATTTTTAAATTTATAAAATTCTCCAATTATTTTGTTAAATATATCCATCGCTAGTAATTTCTGGAAGGCTCTGAGTCAAATGAGTGTTAAACAGAAGGAATTGCAAAGTTTTCCGGAATATCAAAGTTATTTTGACAAAATAGTTTGATCAAAGTCTTCATTCTTCAATAAATAAGGCAGAAAGGTTAAAATACTCAGTTTTCAGATTAATTAGCTTGTAGAACTAGAACAAAGTGCTCTCATCTAGCAATTGGGTGTTCCTCTAAGTATCTATCCAAGAGTCTGCTTGTAAACATCTACCCTTCAAAGATGGGAGATATATGAAAGTACCGTCAAAAGTAGGTGAATTCCTTTCAGAGTCTATTTTTGATTAATCTCATGGACGAAATCAATTGATCAATAAAGAGAATTTTCTTTAGCACAGGCTATTTCAAGTGTTCCACTTATATTTCTTCAAACCCTCAAGGGTATATTAACTTCTCTCTGAAGTACGGGAAGATCCCTAGCAAATTTGAAAAAATTGGATAATTTGAGTAAACTTCAATCATTAATAATTAGTCTTTCATCTGTCATGATAATTTGAACGTAGCACATAATACTAATAAAGAACAGCAACCATGAGGTCAAAGGAATTATAGGGCTTACATCTTCACTAAAAACAACATTTTATAGTGTCAAAATTAAGCCAGTTGAATCAAATTTTAACCCATAAAATTCGGTAGAATTTCCACGATTCAGCATGAATGTTAACACAAGGACAAGTTTATATGAAATTTTAAACCCTTCAGTTCAAGTTGAGAATAGGCCAAATAAGAGAACCAGCAATGTCAACTAATAACCCAATACCTTTGTACCAAGAACTACAGTACCCTGCCTGAAATGGAATTTGAATATTATAAACCCTTCAGAAATGAGTAAGAATTTTCGTAATAAACTTTAAATCTGACTTTAATGGACTTGAATAAAGAATTTAACACAAGAACACATGAGGATTAAGACACATAAACCCCTTGACCCCAATCCCAAGTCAAGGAGGTTCTTTAATGATAACAGATAGGACCCTTAATAATGAAATCAAACGACTGAAATTACATCCAATCAAAACTTCATATTCTAGAATTTTCCAATAAAATCCTATTATGAAAAATTTGCCTGATTCCAAAAACCCTTGGTGAAGATTAAGTCCGATTAAGTTTAAAACTTAGAAGTAAGAAATAAGAATGAACATAGTAGTAATAACAACAGAAGGATACATAAGAATCATAAAACAGCAGAATACCAATCGTTAAGAACCCAAAACTGATTTACCCAAAGAATAATCAAATAATCTCCAAAAAATTCAAAAATTTAGGAAAATTTATAACCAAAAGAACTGAAATATAGAACGGAATACTAGGAATTAAGCTGGAAGATATCTTCAAAAGAGAATGAACTTCTTGATTAAACAGTAGTAACAATAGGAACATAATAAAGTCAATGACAATGAAAATAATAATGTATGAAGGAATAACAAAAGGAATCAAAACATTGGTAGGCAAAGATTCATCCCCTTGGAGCCACCCTCCAAAAGGATTTACGAATATTTGTGATAACAGAAGTTAGGATAGATGCTTAGCACCTAGCCTAGGTCACAAAAGTTGGACACTTTCGTGACTAATAACACCTCTACACAGAGCTGTGCTTGGAGCAAAAGCTACAAACACGACTGAGTAGAGGAGCCATTAACTTCTATCACAAATATTAATTATTTAATTTTTTTTGGGGTTTTGGGGTTTTGGGGTTTTGGGGTTTTGGGG